GAGCAGGGAGCCCGATGTGGGACTCGATCCCAGGACCCTGGGATCATGACCTGAGCCGAAGGCAGACGCTTAACGACTGAGCCATCCAGGCACCCTACTTTTTTAAATTTTTAAAGATTTTATTTATTTATTTGACAGAGAGAGAGAGAGACAGCGAGAGAGGGAACACAAGCAGGGGGAGTGGGAGAGGGAGAAGCAGGCTGAAGCAGGCTTCCCGCCAAACAGGGAGTCCGATGCGGGGCTCGATTCCAGGACCCCGGGATCATGACCTGAGCGGAAGGCAGACCCTTAACGAGTGAGCCACCCAGGCGCCTCTCCATTACATTTTAACTTAGGTAACCTCCTCCCATTCAGAAACACAATTAATTTACATTTTCTTCCATTTATTTTGTCATTTAAAAACATTCAAAAGGTATTTGAAAGTGCTTTTTATCCATGACATGGAGAGGAACTGATTTACCCCACCTTCTGCCATAGAGATACTAGCATCATTTTCAGAACAACCTCTTTCTGACTGATTTGTGTTGCCTTACATAATTGCATGTTAAATTGCATGTATGTATGCATGTGTATATATTAGTCATTTTGTTGTCGTTGTTCTTTGGTGCATTGATTTGTATATTTCTTTGATGGTTCTTTACACAATGTTATATTTTCGTAATTATTTTATTATATTTTAGTTGAAAGAAGCACAGAAATATAGATTAGACAACTATTAAAATATTTTAGCCAAAAGTATTAATTCCTTCCTTTATTATGCAGAATTTAAAACTAATAATTTTTTATTCATTGCTACAGGCCAAAGTGGTTCTGAGGAATCTTAGTCCTGATTCAGTTTTTAGTTCAGAAAACATGAAAAGAATGTTTCCACTTCTCGTTGAAAAGCTAAGGGAAATGGAAAAGTTACCGGCATTATTTTTTTTGTAAGTCATTTAATTTAATTAGTTTTTGTTTGTAATTTGTATCAGGCTTATTCTTTTAAGTTGAGGAAAATTACACAAACTTCACTGTTGTAATAAAGTATTCGTAACTATTTTTGGTGCTCATTATCAGAATACATATTTAAAAAATACACCTTTCTAGTTAAAAGAAATTTAGTTTCTAAAAATATCAGTTCTTAAAAAATATTTTTACTTGTGCTATTACAAATTACCATCTTTGAATAGTTTCCTACTCCATTTTTTGTTATCTTTTTACTGTAAACTATTATATTTTTATTTAGGTCTTATAAATTTCCAGTAAATACCGAGGTTCTTTGCAAAATAAATTGAATGCTTACACACACAAGTATCCCACATAAAATTAAAGTATCCTTACAACATGTTAGCATATTTATTGGTGGGGTATTTTATTGTTTTTAATTTACAGTTATGAGAATTGTAACTTAGAGACACTGCCATCTTGCTAAAGTTTATATACTATAGAATGAAAATAGCTTAAAATTGAATATAATCATCCAGTTTTGGTGAGGTATAAGTTATACCAAAATATATTCATTCAATGGATAATACTCTTTTTCTGGATTAACTCTGATCACATAGTTTGGGATTAGAGTAAAATGCTTTCTTTACTTTAGACAATTTCAAACAACACTTAGCCATGGAAGTTTAAGTAGGGCACAGATATAAACAAACAAACACATAAATAAAGCTACATAATCTTGTTCAGCTGGCAAAGTTTGATGAAATTTGTTTACACATAAGTAGACATATAGTAATGAATCATTATTGGTGATATATATTTAAAATAATGATGATAATTAAATGTATGGTTGTGTTTGGAACTTTTGGAGATTGCAATACAATTGTTCCTTTTACCTGTGTTGTTGGGACAAGGAAAATAAATTTCTGAACTACCAAGAAGTAACACAGCTCACCTACTTTACTTTAGAACATGGCACAGATTTTAGTTAGAAACAAACACAATTTTGTGCATCTGAGATATTCCTGAAAGCTTAACTGCAAAATAGAAATCTAAAAATAACTGTATTTATTGTTCATGCACACATACATTCTTAAAACATTTAAGAAGTAAAATATTTTCACCCAATGTTTGAAGGAAGTCAAGAGTTACAAACTTCCAGGTAAAAAATAAGTAAGTCATGGGGATGTAATGTACAGCATAGCTACTATAGTTAATAATACTATATTGCATATTTGAAGGTTGCTAAGAGATTAGTTCTTAAAAGTTCTTATCACAAGAAAATAAATTCTGTAACTATGTGTGGTAACAGATGTTCATTAGACTGATTGTTGTGATCATTTCACAACATATGCAAATATTGAATCATTATGTTGTATGCCTAAAATTAATATAATGTTGTTTGTTAATTGTACTGCAATTAAAAAAAATAAAGGGTGGAGTACAATAGAATACATAGTGTTTTGTGCACCTGTAAAAGCTTCTTTGGAAACTATACCTAGGAGCACAATCACTATATTTTGTAGTATGGGCAAACTAATGGGATAAATGGAACATGAATTTTTCTAACGTGGCTTAACTTATGTCCCATCAGTAGTTCATGAGGTTCCCATTTTGACCTATCATCACAAGCTTGTGGGATTGGTTTTTCTAAATGTTCTCATTCTGATTGTGTAAAATCATGTCTCGCTAACTGTTGTAATTTGCATTACTCTGATCAGTTGAGCATTTCTTTCAAGTAAGTAGTCTTTTAACTTTTTCCTCATGTGCTATTCAAATAATTTTTCTTTTGGATTTCACAGCTTTTTTTTTTTGCTGTTTTTCAGGAATTTTAATTCTTTGTCAGTTATTAATTTGGCAATTATCTTCTCTGAGTCAAGCACCTGTCCTTTAAGTTTGTCTGCACTATCTTTTGTTAAACAGTTATGTTTAATTTTGATGTATTAAAATTCATCAACACTTAAAAAAGGAAAATGTTTCACAAAAGCATCATAGATTTAATTTTGTTTGAGGAATTGAATCTTGGCATGTCTATGGAGTTTTGGGCTCTGTGCAAAACATACTGTGAAAATCCTTGGTCTTATGAAGTTTGATTTAATCCTAAGTAGCCCGAGATCATCAATAAATCAGGGTTTTTTAGGGTTCAATCTGTACAACTGAGAGCTTATCAAATAATAGTTGTCCCTGTCAACCTTCTCCAGTTTGGTCTCTAGAAAAAAATGTGAGGAGCATGTTTAATGTTTAGTGACAATATCAGTGTGTGCTTAAGAACACACATTTCATGGTCAAGCCCAAGTTTGGATCATACCTCTGCTCTCAATTAGTATGGCACTTCTAGACAGCTAATCAATGGCTTTGAGCCTTAGTT